CCTGTGTGAAGAACATGTACAGAAGTAAAATCATAAGTGATGTTTTGCGCAAGTTCTCTTCATGTTTACACCCTTGAACCGAAACGTTGGTCGAAAAAGTACTAAAAGCATAAGCGCTGTGTAATTTTTAGAGGTGGTTGTTGACAACTATGAGAGGAAGTGAAAAAACCGTGGCGAACATGAAAGGACGTTTACTCACTACAATTAATAGATATTAGCCATACCTTTTGCCACGGAGGGATTCAACGACAACTCCAGTAACAGGAAAGTCCAACCAGCCATGAAAAGAAACGATAAGCTTTTTCCAGTCATTTCTTAGTTCTGAAACACATGGAAGAATACGTAAAACTATCGAGTCATTCAGTTTAATTCGTAGTAGACAGCGTATTCAACTCGCATTCCGGCAGAGTTCCTGAGTTTGAGTTTATACCTTAGCCTCAGTTTATTCTCAGATAGTACCCAGAGTAGGTCCTTTATTAAGCCTGGCTGATAACGAGCTATATTGCCTTCTGTAAAGCAGGGTTTTTAACCATGTCGTGTGAGGTTCTGTGATATCATTTTATGTCAATTGATGTCAAATCTTGTCAACTTATGTCATTTTATGTCAAGGTACATCACCTCAGTAGTCAATTTGATGGAACGCCTGTCAATTTTCTGATGGGCTGATTTTCACACATGTAAGCCTTATTTCATCTAATCAGCGGAAAGTGTGACACAAGGCATTAAAATTTTGACGCTTATTGTGACGAAATGCCATGAAAAATGCCAAAAAGCCACTAAAGAAAAGGTTTAGTACAGATAAGAATCGGAAAGTTATATATGTTGCATGCGAGAAATATTTCTGGAAAGAAATAAACGTGTTTGTAAAGAGCGGTATATCCTTCTCAAGGGAATTGTAGTGAGATATTACAATGGAATTACACCTCGAGGTGACTTACTTCTAAGCCACATTTTAAAGAACTGTTCCTGTATTAAATTACTCTCAAAGCAGAGGTCAGACCATGCAAAAGCTTTCTTAATCATAAAAAGCTTTGAAGCGAAACCGATCACGTGATAACCATAAAGGAGGGGAATCCAAATAACTAGACAAGTCATTTAATTTCTGTCTTCATTGCTAGATAGCAGAATATTTGATATATTTTTCTGTTCTGCTCGGGAAAGAATAAACTACTTTCTTTGTTTCGCCGCGTTTCTCCAAAATTTGGATCATCCATCTGTAGCTTCAACTTGACTCGATACAAAAAACAAGAAATATTCTGCTCTTAAGAACAGGTTATTTATTTCCTTTTGACAGTTTACACGTTGTAGCATTTTGAGGTCCCCACTCAAAAAAAAGATAATATCCAAATTGCCTACGTTTGCAAGTTCCTATGTTTGTTTATCGTGTGCAAATTAAAGGACTAGAGAAAGGTCACAGCATTGACAGAAGCCCCAGTGTCCCTTAATTTTAACGTTCACATTATTAAAACACTTAGTGGCCACTTAGAATAGCCAGTAAGTAATTGTTATTCTGCTTTGAATACTATCGAAAACTAACAAGATCTGACATTACGTTGTGGAAAGATGGTGTTGGTTTGATGAGAGAGTCTACGAAATTTGGTCTGGTAAAAGCAGCATTCGATTCCAAGTTAGAGTTCTTTTCTAATTGTACCCCAAAACAAGAATAACCTATACGAGTAATCAGGATAAGTGAAAAGGTGTCAAGCCAACGCGGACTGATAATAAAAACAAGAAAACTGTCTGGAGAGCGGGAAAATAGGAGGGCAAAGTCACAATTGGATTTAGTTTTGCATCTGGTGCAAATGAAAAAAGGAAATCAACAAAAATTAAATGTGATCACGGATTACTCTCAAGATACATTTGAAAATAAAACGTTTCTCATAAGAGTATTACAAATAGAAATCTTTATATATTCATAAATTCATCTGCGCTGCAAAGGTTGATTTATTGGCGAGCGATCACCTTTAAGGTTCAAATTTCTAGCCCAGTGTCCGGTATAATGAGAGGATCAGTTCAGGTAAAGTGCATAGTGTTACATTTTTTCCTCGGGAGTGAGATGATTACTTATCTGAAGCACCAACGCAATATGTGAGAAATGAATCGAAGACCAAGGGGAAATGATGAAGGTCGATGAAAACAAGACATACTCAACTAAGAGACGCATGTGCTTAGTTTCATTCTGTTTTTATTCGTGACCCCAGTCTTTCTACATGTATTCAGTTTATGAGTTTACGGTTTGGTTTCATATGCATATTATCGATAGCAATTTGTATTTCAAAATTACTCTATTTACTGCGCATGTGTGATCTCTATTTCTATTAGTGACATTAGATGTTAGCGATAAGACTTTCATCAGAATTAGGTATCACCTGGCTGGTGTTCAGTGGAAGACCATTTGAATCAAATCCCAAAATCCGCCTCTTACCACTAAGGTATGACTGATAATAAAAGTAGTTATTCGAACCAGCCAAGGGTACTTTTTTAAACAGAATTTCAGGATAAAGATTTTTCACTTTTTTCAAGTTGTTCAGCTTGCGCAAAGATGTCGACAGAGTCTATTGAAGAAAAAAACACAGGATTAATTCTTAAACCAGATAGGGTTATATTATTGTTAGAAAGTCTCTGGGAAGCATTGAACCTGACACATTGTATTCAGT